GCCAGGCCGGCCATCGGGGCTCTGCGACGAGCCGGCCAGCGGGACGGCTGCGGCGGCGGCGGCAGCAGGACGTGACGTGGCGCGTGCGACCAGCAGGGTCGCGGCCGGTGCATGGCTACAACGCGTGGCCAGCAGGGCCCGACGGCGACGACGGCAACGCGGTGCAGTGCACGTGACGAGCGGGATCGTGGACAGCACGACATCATCTGGACGTCGGCGTCGGGATCTCAAAACATCGTCGTGTTCATCGGGAACATCGACGGCGTGTGGCACAGCGGGTGCGTTGTGGCAGTACCGTGATCATCTGGATCACGATTTGTACCGACTCCCGTATAGTGTAGTCAACAAGTCTCTCGTGATCCAAAAACATCGACATTGGTCAGCGACGTATTCGTCCCCTCAGTTTTTGGGAGGGAAATCCACACCATAGGTAGATTTATCCGAAAAATAATCTAATCGCAAAAACGGAATCGTTGTAACGAGAGGAATGCAACATAGTCTAGGGATATGTGTATGTTACTAGTGAGAGGAATGCAACATAGTCTAGGGATATGTGTATGTTACTAGTGTATGTTACTCTCCATTATGGCTAGTCTTAGAAGCACGCACGCACACACACATCTCAACTTACACGCACACATAAATTCATGTCTACTAGGGAAATAATTATCTAAACTAGGTGGAAATAATGTTAGTGCTTATGGATAGGAACGACTTCTAATGGAATGAAGTATTATTGCTGCTGGTATAGAAATTAGTGTTAATTTTTGTGGAATAAATCATGATCACTAGCGGTACAAAAATTTAGGCCTAGAAGAAAAACTAGTGCTGACGCACAGAACAAATACATACACAGATAATTCACAGCTACTAGTGAAACAAATACCTGGACTAAGCTGACAAATTGACAGTGTAAATGCAATAAATCACTGACTACTAGTGGAACAAACTTTATTCTTGAGAATCAAAAATTTGAGCTAAGTGAAATATATTATGATTACTAGTGGAAAATAAATTCAGTGCTCATGACATAGACACAGATAATTGATGGCTAAACAAATATCTAGACCAAGTGAAAAATGTCTCGATGCTCATGGAACAAATTACGTCCACTACTGGAACCCATTTTATTTATGGGTGAACAGAAATTTGGACTAAGTGGAACAAATCACGACTACTAGTGGAACAAAATTTGGTTAACACATTGGTGGCTACATCCACTCAAGGAAAGGGTGGTTCAATTGCTCACTAGAATTCCAGTACTAACAGAACAATAGCCCCCCATCCATCTATAGTGTAGAACCAGCAACCATTAAAAGATGTCCAATACAGAAACTTTGTAGAAATCCACACTACATACTGACATATACTTATTGTACATGATGACACTAGTTGGCATCACTAATTTATTTGTCTATTCACTAATTTTTGTTTCACTCTCCCACACTCTACTTAACTATTCGCCCGAGTAACTTATGCAGTGGTGGTGCTGGCTAATTAAGCGCTAATAGTTCGACCGCCATCGACACAAATGACCTGGCCGGTGATGAAGGAAGCTGCCGGCATACATAGGAATGCCACCGCCGAGGCGATCTCGACCGGCTTGCCGCTCCGCAGTAACGGGGTCTTTGAGTGCTCCCGCTCCAAGGACTCTGTATCCATCTGCCCAACATGTCCACAAGAACATATGAGATGTTGGAGCCCTTTTACTCCCCATGTAAAACTGAACTTATTATTATCTCATAGAACTTTAATTTGTTTAAAATCCATGTGCTGTTGTTTAAAAAAGATAAACCTATGCTTCCTACTAGGTTATATATTTCGTACATCTTTGATCATATCGGTTGTGATAAATCCTGGGGCCACGCCATTCACACGGATGTTGTTGGGAGCCCACTCAGCGGCCAAACTCCTAGTAAGCTGGTTCATTGCACCTACATATAAACAGTATAATAAAGGAGCAGAAAGATAACCATGCATGACAAAAAAAAGGAGAACCATGCATGACATAGAAAAAAGCGAACATGCATGACAAATATAAGTTGACATCCGTCAATCCATATTAGCTTTTGTGTTAGTTCAAACTTTATAAAGTTTGACTAAGTTTATATATAAAAAGTTAACATCGAAAACCCAAATGACTATAAATAGTACTTCCTCCCTTGTAAAATAAGGGTCGCTGATTTAGACTCAATTTCTGCCACACTTATTTTGGGACGTGAATAATTTGGTGTTGTCAATGTTGTTACATTTTATTTGCGAAACAAATGTTGTTACATTTTTTTCTGCAATGAACTTCATAAAGTATGACTTATGCCAAAATTAATTAGCGTACAACACATTTTAAAAAGGAGTATGCACGTACTTTTTGTGATAGCGTAGATTGCGGAGCCTACGAAGCCAATTGAGCCTCCAATGGAGGACATGTTGATGATGCTGCCTCCTCCGGCGTGTACGAGAAGAGGGCGCGCGAGTTGGCAGAGATGGAAGCTCGACTCCAGGTTGGTAGCCATCACCTTGGAGTACTCCTCCGCCGTGCACTCCGCGGTGGGCTTCACCAGCAGCTGCCCCGCGTTGTTCACCTACAGTACATGCATATACATACTCCCGATCGCTAGGCGCTAGCAATACAGAAGACACACATGATCCACAGTTTACAGACACATATAGAACTCACTAGTATGTCGAGCTTGCCGTTGAAGGTCTGCCGGACGGTGTCCATGAGCCTCTCCCTGTCGGCGCGCACGGAGACGTCGCAGGCGGAGACGGTGACATGCAGGCCCTTCTCCTCCCACCGCCGTCGGCACTCCTCCAGCTCCGCCGCGTTCCGGGAGCAGGCGTGCACCCTCGCACCGAACCCGGCGAGCTCCTCCACGATGGCGTACCCGATCCCTTTGCTGCCGCCGGTGATGAGCGCCCTGGCGGCGGCCAGGGTCCACCTCCCCTCCCTGCTCCCGCGCTCAGCCGCCATCTCGATCTCTATGCAGAGAAGAGGGCACTTGTTGGTTGACATTTATAGCCAGGAAGCTGGGGCTCGCGCAAAGACACACCGAAGCTGATAACGTTGGGCGGCCGCCTCCACTGACTTCCAAAGATCCGAGTGCGGCGTCACGTGGCTTCCTGAGTAGAGACACGGGCGGGCGAAATATCTTAGTCAGAGGCCGGGCCACGCGCCGGGAGCGCGAGCATGCCATCTGCGCGAGCGGCATGCCATCTGCGCGCGCGGCGTGGCCAGAGCGCGTGCACGCCACGATAGGAGAGCGCCTACGTGATACCACTGCGGCGCCGCCGTCCCCTGCGTGACTCCCATGCTGCGCGTCTGGTCTACCTGCCGGAGCCTTATCCCCGTTGCGCCGCCACTATTAGACCTTGCCGCGGGCCCGCTCAGCACTAATTTTTCAATCTAATTTTACCAACCTTTTCATGCACTTGCAGTTCAAAATTTTATTATATTCACTAAATGTCTAGAAATGCATTTAATGGTAATTAACGAATTCCTCAAAAATGCCATATTTAGCACATTAAACTCAGTTGTCCATATACACACATCACTATGAACACATGCATACACACCATACTTCTATGAGCACTTTCGATATACTGAGCCGAGATAACAACTCACAAAGTCACCATATGCGCATTCCTAGTCGACGGGAGCGTCTCCTCCCACTGAACGAACATCGCCTGAAAGCCTAAATCTCTACTATCTAAAAGAAACGTAAGGTTCCCTCTCCCCTCTTACGTTCCCCTCGCTTCGTCCAACCTCTCGTACGACCCCCTCTCCCCTCAATCGATTTTCTTTTCTCCCCACCGATTTTCTCCTGCTGGTTTTATCCTTGGTTTTCTATTCCTTCCTTAATAGGTAATCCATTCATGTATGGTAACCTCTACTACTCCCTCTATTTCCTCCCCCGCCTGATTTTCTATTTAAATCGGTTTTTAATTTTTCCGGCTAAACCAGGATCAATCTTTGGTAACTCATTCAATTCTCATATGGTAAGCGATCTCTTCTTTGGCAATGCATAACGCAATCAATTCACATCAATCACGCATATTCTTATATTCCTTATCTTGGTTTATTTCCTGCGTTTTCTGCATATTGATTTTTTTTCTCTTCATAAATATCTCTCCCTTCCTTTCCAGATTTCATCTCATTCATCTGATGATCGTGTGCCCGCCGCGCTAGGGTACTCAAGACACTACCTACTCTTTTGCTACGATCCTGCTCGAGGAGAATAGGCCGGAGCACCATGACAAGGGAAGATCGTGGTGTTGTTGAGTACTCGCCTCGAGTCTACGGCAGCAGTGCGGGACACACGATTCCCACCAAACCCGCATCACACCTTTGCGCACCTACGTTGATTGCCGCCGCTGAGCCGACGTCAATCGCCCTGAGCTGCTGAGCATCACTGCTGAACCAGGCCTCCCATGAGTGTCTTCCACCGGTTCATGATTGGACGGCGGACTCAGCCTTCTAACCTACTCCATCGCGGCGTAGAACCGTCACCAAACGTTTTTCATCACCGAGCCATCGAGAGACGGGAAGCAAGAAGATGTCCTTGGAGGTCGTGCAGCTTTTCGGAAGGACGGAGTTGGCCAGACCCCATCCTCCCGGGCAAAATGACTAGCTGAGCCTCAACTCCTGGAGACGGCGGCTAGCGGCGCGACAAAGGACCTCAATGTTTTATAAAATGCTTTCCTGTTTATAATTTTCTGGTAAGTTTCGTGACTGCTTGATTGCCATATCTAATGTACCTTTTCCTTGGTATAGTTACAAGGATCTGGATGATGGCGAGCTAGCCTGCATGATGCAGTCATGTACGTTACGGGCAATGGCCTGATGGCCAGCTAGCTTCTTCCTTAATTGCTTCAATGTTCCTCTTTCTCTTTGTCAGGGTCATCCCATGAATATATTTACTCAGGAAAATCAAGCGCTCATTACACACTGACTATTATTTGTATTGCAGAAAACGTAAATCATTTACAAGCTAGAAGGAACTCATCATTCTAAGAATCCGGTTGTACTCTTAGTTAGAGGTTGGAAAAAAATGTAAATATCCTTGTAAGACTAGCAATATTTATATTCCCCATGCTTTTTCCTGTATATATTATCTAAGTTGGTTAATTCTTTTCACAACATTCTTATGTCTATTGTTTTCGTCACAAGAATTTATTATTTAGTCTAGTAGGGTGTTTTGTATTTGCATGGTTGTACCCAGCATAGGGTTAGTTTGTTGATAAATGAAAAAAAGGCTTTTTTGGCTACTAAGATACAGAAGAACACGATGAGGCCATGCCTCTGCATCATCACCAATAATATTCATTGTGGCCATGTATGTATGTGATTTAGGAAGAATAATATTTGGGAAAATATTTGTGGAGTACAATTGGAGAGAAGGATTGACAACATGATTTCATTCATGTCGAGCCAAAAGTAGAATGCGGGCAGAACATGCATTTTTATATGCGGTAACTCGGGGATAGATAAATAGATTATTTGTTAATATGTGTCGTTTGAGCTATACCTATCTATATTTCTGTAGCAACGCACGGGCAATTACCTAGTAAAGTTTAAAAAATACAAGCACTAGTGCATAGTCTCGGATTTGAACCCTGATGGGCTGTGTCCAGCACAAGAAACCTAACCATATCAGTTAGGCTCAGTTTGCAAAATGCCAAATTTCGACTTAGATCATGTAGTAGCGTATCTTGAGTGTAGAAGATTATTAAAGGCCAATGGATGAAACAACAGTCGTATCGTCTTCAAACCTGACTCTTGGTGCCTCTCTAAAACCACGTTTCTTCCTCCAAGATAATTTAATTTCTAGGCTGTGTACGTCACAAATTCTATAATACCTTCTCAAATTTTTACCACTGTTTCTAGATGTCATATGAGGGAACCATGCCAACTGAGGGAGTGCTGGATTAGGGGGTGTCCGGATAGCCGGACTACCATCATCAGCCGAACTATCACCAGCCGGACTATCATCATCGATCGGACTCCAAGACTATGAAGATACAAGATTGAAAATTCGTCCCGTGTCCGGATGGGACTTTCCTTGGCGTGGAAGGCAAGCTTAGCGATACGGATATGTAGATATCTTACCATTGTAACCGACTCTATGTAACCCTAGCCCTCTCCGGTGTCTATATAAACCGGATGGCTCTAGTCCGTAGGACAGAATAACAACAACCATTACAATCATACCATAGGCTAGCTTTTAGGGTTTAGCCTCCTTGATCTCGTGGTAGATCCACTCTTGTAAACATCCACAATATCAATATCAATCAAGCAGGACGTAGGGTTTTACCTCCATCAAGAGGGCCCGAACCTGGGTAAAACATCGTGTCCCTTGTCTCCTGTTACCATCCGCCTAGACGCACAGTTCGGGACCCCCTACCCGAGATCTGCCGGTTTTGACACCGACATTGGTGCTTTCATTGAGAGTTCCTCTGTGTCGTCACCGATAGGCTTGATGGCCTCTTCAATCTACAATGACGCAGATCTTTGTATTCGGCGGCTTCGCACTGCGGGCCAACTCACTTGGCCATCTGGAGCAGATCGAAAGCTACGCCCCTGGCCGTTAGGTCAGGTTTGGAAGCCTAAACTTCACGGCCGATATCCGCGGGGACTTGATCTTCGATGGATCTGAGCCACAGCCGAGCGTGCCGCGCTGTCACGATGGGCACGACCTAACTCTGCCGCCGGACAACACCTTGGAGGCCGCACACGAATCCGCTCCGACCCATAGTCCAGAGCCGATCACTCAGATTGAGGACGGATGGCTGGACACCGCCTCGGGAGCTGCAACTTCTACGGTGATGGAGCCGAACACTTACCTTGTCCCGCATAAAGCTCATGACTCCGAGGTGCCGGACTCCCTGCCGGACTCCGAACCTCCTGCGCCCCCCGCCAGTCGAATCGGATTGGGCGCCGATCATGGAATTCACCGCTGCGGACATCTTTCAGCACTCATCCTTCGGCGATATCTTAAATTCGCTGAAGCATCTCTCGCTATCCGGAGAGCCCTGGCCGAACTACAGCCAGGATGGTTGGGACGCGGACGACGAAGAAATTCAGAGCCCACCCACCACCCACTTCGTAGCCACCGTCGACGACCTAACCGACGTACTCGACTACGACTCCGAAGACATCGACGGTATGGACGACGATGCCGGAGACTATCAAGAACCAGTGCCTACAGGACACTGGAAGGCCACCTCGTCATAGGACATATACATGATGGACACCCCAAAAGATGGGGATGGCGAAGAAGCAGCGGAGGCCGATTCCTTAAAGAAACAGCCCAAGCGCCGACATCAGCGGCGCCGCTCTAAATCCCGCCACAACAAGAATATAGATTCCGGCACAGGAGATAATAACACCCCGGAAAGTGCCGAAGACAACCCCCTCCAGCACAATCCAGCGCAGGAGGAGGCAGAAGCAAGCCCTCACGAGAGGGCGGCAGACGAAGAGGTCGAGGATGATAATTACTTACCTCCCTTTGAATTCGTCGTGCCTGAGGATCCCGTCGAACAAGAGCGTTTCAGACGCAGGCTAATGGCCACGGCAAACAGCCTAAAGAAAAAGTAGCAACAGCTTCAAGCTGATCAAGACCTACTGGCCGACAGATGGACCGAGGTCCTCGCGGCCGAAGAGTATGAACTCGAATGCCCCTCCAAAAGTTACCCAAAACGCAAGTTTCTCCCCCGACTAGAGGAGGAAGCGTACAAACCTGCATCACCAGCGCACAATACGGCAGACCGACCACCTCGTGGCCGCGACAGAGAGGCATGCAAGCCCTCCACCAAAACCGTACCCCGGCATCGCTCAAAAAGCATGAAGCCATGGGGGAACGCGCCGGACTTGCGAGATATATTAGAGGACAAGGCAAGACAATCCAGATCTATCTATGGATCACGTGGGCGCCCCAAGACCCACGACGAATACCGTCGCGCCGGATACAACTA